GCCATTCGATAGGTCCTAGTGAGCAGTGAAAAAGTCTATCTTGGTTTGGGTGCATGAGCCTCTGGGACTGAGCTTTTGAATTTTGTAGTGAGTTTTTCCTGCAGGACCCCAGTTTTCCAGCAAATATATTTTTTCGAATTTTGACCTGAAACTTTGCCCACACGAAGACCTCAACTAAACTAGCTTCCATAAAAAATTTCAGAACTTTTGAACAAAGTCTCTCTGAGATATGAATTTTCCAAAAGATGCATGTTTTATACACTCTATGAAAAAGCGCCTATATCGTGAAAAATTTATATCTCGGAGACACTTTGTTCAAAAGTTCTGAAGTTTTTTATGGAAGCTAGTTTAGTTGAGGTCTTCGTGTGGGCAAAGTTGCAGGTCAAAATTCGAAAAAATATATTTGCTGGAAAACTGGGGTCCTGCAGGAAAAACTCACTAAAAATTCAATAGCTCAGTCTCAGAGGCCCATGCACCCAAACCAAGATAGACTTTTTCACTGCTCACTAGGACCTATTGAATGGCAATGGTCCTGAGCGAAAAGCGATTTGACACCTGGAGAGGTTCCCTTGTAAACTAAATCTAAGAATTTAGAAAAAAAAGAATTTTTACCTCATCCTTCTTCTTTGTATATTTTACCTTTTCTGTAGAAATAGTTGAATCATTATTCAACGTGCTGTTATCAAGAGTACCTGCATATAATATTGCATAGAAAATACCACGATTATCTGCTGTCCCATGTAATGATGAGAATTTTGTTCGAATAATAACATCATCTAATTTATTATGAGATGAAACATTCATAAAATAAATTGTCGACCACTTCTGAAGCAACATCAGATACACCAGGAGAATAAAATCACTCAACCTAAATTTAAATAATTGTTTTTTCTGATCTGTAGCATAATGTTTTTCCATCAAATGAGAAGTTAAGTGATTGTATGATCATGGTTCCATTTTCTGAAAACGCATTTGGATTAATTACAATTTGTTCTTGATCAGTTAATTTTGATAATGAATCTAATTTATAATAAACATCTTGATTTTGAAGATCTGTATTCATAAAATAAGAATATTTTCTATTTGATTGTTTTGATGAACATGAAAATTTTGGAATATTAAATACTACTTTAAGATATTCAAAAAATTTTGTTCGATAAGAAATTTTATTGAAAATAAGCTTGGCTAATTACATCATGTTGATCTGTAACAAATGTTGAAGTTAGAAATGGTGGATTGAGTGACTCTTAACATATGTCATAGAGTTGTATCTTCGGGCTATGAACAAAGTGCCACTTCTTATTGGACGTGATGTTAGTAAAAATGAGTGCAACTACTCAATCAACTCTCAC